CCCCGGGGGGTGTGGGATGCAGAGCACCGCCAACCCCACGTGCTTTGTGGTGCCGGAGGGCAGCGCTGTGACTCCGCAGCACCAGGGTCTCACGTCCCCCCCGCCCCCAGGCAGGAGGAGGCTCAGGCCATCGACCAGGAGCTCTTCACCGACTATAAATTCAGCGTGGACCAACTGATGGAGCTGGCGGGGCTGAGCTGCGCCACCGCCATCGCCAAGGTGGGAGCACGGCGGGGGGGGGGCTGCGGGGTGACCCCCCCCCCACCGCCCGGCCCAACCCAACGCGCCCCCCCTCCTCCAGGCGTACCCCCCCGACTCCTTCCCCACCAGCCCCCCGGCCGTGCTGGTGCTCTGTGGGCCGGGCAACAACGGCGGCGACGGTTTGGTGTGCGCCCGGCACCTGAAAATGTTTGTGAGTGCCCCGAAGGGGGGCTGCATTCAGGGCTCCGTGCCCCCCCAGCTCAGTGCTGAGCAGCGCCGTCCCCGCAGGGCTACCACCCCACCGTGCACTACCCCAAGCGGCCCAGCAAGCCGCTCTTCGAGGCGCTGACCACGCAGTGCCAGAAGATGGACATCCCCTTCCTCACCGACTTCCCGGCGGAGGTGAGCAGACGCCCTGGGGCCGTGGCTGCGTCCTGCAGGCGAGCCTCGCGACCCACTGCTGGGCCTCAGCCGTGCTGCTGCACCCCCCCGCCAGGCCTCACTCCATATCGATCCTCACCCCATATCGATCCTTGCCCCATATCGATCCTCGCCCCTCGTTCCGCTCCTTGCCACCCTGCTGCTCCCCCGCTCTGCCAGGCCTGACCTCGTGTTGATCCTCACCCAACCCTGCTCGGCTCCACCCCGCTGCTCCTCACCCTCTGCCAGCCGTCATCACCACCCCATTCTGGTCCTCACCCCGCACTGCTCTTCACCTCCCTGCTGATCCTCACTCCTCTGCTGCTCCTCATTCCGTTGGTCCTCATCCCGTACTGCCCCTCAGCCCCCTGCTGCTTCTTACCCCATATTGGTCCTCACCACCCTACTGGTTCTTGCCCCACTGTTATCCTCAGCCCATATTGGTCCTTGCCCCACTGCTGGTCAGCACCCTATATTGGTTCTTACCCACTGCTGGTCCTCACCCCATACTGCTCCTCCCCAGTACTGATCATCTTACTGCCAGTGCTCATCACCCTACTGCTCCTCCCCCCAATATTCACCCTCACCCCACATTCACCCTTCCCCCACTGCTGGATCCCATTGCCATTCCTCACCCCACGCTGCTCCCCCCCGCCGCAGGCCGCGCTCATCGACGGGCTGTATGGGCTGGTGGTGGATGCCATCTTTGGGTTCAGCTTCAAGGGAGCGGTGCGGGAGCCGTTCGGGAGCATCCTCAGCACCCTGCAGGGCGTCACGGTGCCCATCGCCAGCATCGACATCCCCTCGGGTGAGTGCACAGACCCGCTGCTGGGGGGCACCGCATTGGCAGCGCGCTCCACCACGGGCTGTGTTGCAGGCTGGGACGTGGAGAAGGGGCGGGTGGACGGGCTGAGGCCCGACATGCTCATCTCCCTGACGGCCCCCAAGAAGGCAGCCGCGCATTTCTCGGGGCGCTACCACTTCCTGGGGGGGCGCTTTGTGCCCCCAGCGCTGCAGGAGAAGTACGGCCTCAACCTCCCTCCGTACCCGGGCACCGACTGCGTCCTGCAGCTGCCGTAGGGCTGGGTGCTGGCGCGGTCGCAGCCCCACCAGAGGTGCTTCCAGGTACGGAGCCGGGCGCCAAGGGCTGCGTCACTTCAGGATTGTTTGGTGCAATAAAAATGTATTAGAAAACAAAAAAACCTTTGGTGAACGCAGTGCTGCGCAGGCTCTGCCCTCACATTGCTCTGCCCTCACATTGCTCTGGCTTCACGCCGCTCCTCCATGGGCTGATGGCAAACTGGTCCCCTCCTCAGGGCCAGCTGGGAGCTGGGTTCCAGGCAGCTCCCATGGGGCACACAGCTCCCCAGGCCCCTCTGAGCACCCAATGCACCACAGGGGGTTCCGGGCCCCCCCTCACCAGGTGGCTGCATTCATTCTGCCTCCCTCCGCCTCTTCTTCTTCTTCTTCCTCCTCACCTCAGGGTGGTGCTCAGCCTCCCCTGGCCCACCGGTGTCTTCTGCAGGTCCCTCCATCTCAACCACCTCCTCCCCCTTCTCCTTCCTCCTCTTTTTCTTCTTCTTTCTCCTCTCCTCTCTCTCCTCTCCTCCATTCGCCTCCTGGCTCCGCAGCTCCTCCACATCAGTTCCATCCACCAACGGTTCCCTTCTCTTCTTCTTCTTCTTCCTGCTGTCCCTCAGCTCTGCCGGGGGGCTGCTCTGGGGGTCCGTGGGCTGCCCCCCCCCGCCGCGCTGCCTGGCAGCCAGGAAGGCGCGCTCCTGCTGCTCCAGCCGCGCCAGCTTGGCGCTCATGGTCAGCCCGTGCCGCGCAGCTCTGCAACAACAGGGACCCGGTGGGGAAGGAGCCCCCCAGGGCACACTGACACCCCCACCCCAAAACCAACCGCTCACCTGTGTGCCGTGCGGCCCCCGCACACCCGCACCAGCTCCTCATCCGTCAGCCTGCGGGGACAGAGGGGACACAGCGTCACCAGGCGGGAGGTGGCAGCAGGATGACCCCCAGCTGCCCCCACCCTTCAATGCCACAGTGCCTCCGGGCCGAAGAGCGGTCCAGTTTGTCCTCCTCTTCCTCCTCGCTGCTCTCGGAGCCCCCTGGCTGCTTGGTGGGCTCCTCCCCATGGGCCGTGAGCGTGGCTGCCTGCATGGAAAAGGGGAGTGGGGAGAATTGGGGGGGGGGGGGGAGTGGGGGGAGTCAGAAGAGAGGGGGGGAAATGGAGGCGTGGAAAAAAGGGGCATGGAATTCGGGGGGACAGGGGGCAAGGAAATAGAGGGGAGGAAAAGGTGGAATGGGAAAGGAGAGTGTGGAAATGGGGGGGTGTGGAAATGGGGGGGTGTGGAAATGGGGG